ACTATTCAGAAGAAACTCCATGAAATTATGAATGGAAAAACCTAGCAGGAAACTAACCAAAATCTATCACACTTCACTATAACAATACATTAGTATTGTTTGTCACAAATTATATTTATTACAGAAAGTGTTTCACAAATTATATTTGTAACATCATATCACTCATATTACATACATAAATGACATTCTGTTAGTTTGGAAACATTCAATCAAGAGCTTATAAAATTTAAGGCCTTCAAATGTTTATTTCTTACCACAGTATTATAAGATAATATACTTTATCAAAGTGAATTTAAATAGTTTAAACCCAATTGCATTTGAGCCTTTTGCTCATCTTCAAGAATGTAACAATGATACAGAAAACTCTACAAAATGAAATTTAATTAGTTTCACTGTAGCTAATTTAATGAAGTAAGCAATATTTCTTTAATGGTGATTAACAGTTCTCTTATATCTGGTTAATGGCTTGTTAACTGAGCTGAAAACTTATTCACCATTAAAGGTATGTTGCTTACTTTGTTTTACAGAAACAAAAACATTGTAAATTTCAAAAATATTCCAAATAACTAAAAGATTTGAGTTAAACATTATTGTTTTAGAATTGAATGAAAGCAGATGAATAGCCAGAAAGACTTGAGAATGCTTGCATTTAAATGTTTAAATTCACTCTGGTAATGAATGCTATCTTATAAAATTATAGATTTTTGATTTTATAGTTGATAATGGATAAGGAATCTGCAAAACACTAATTCTGATTTGATAGTCTGTAGACAGACTTTTATTTAAGGCAATGAAAAATTATAATCTGGAATTGAAGAAAAGTAAATTAGAAAACAAAACACAATTTTCTATTTTGTTCTGAATGATACAGATTCAGTGATAGAAAGTTTTTTTTTATCATTCTATGGGTACTAAGATCCTTTTTTCATGCCTATTGTGAATTTGACTATCCCCACAATAGGACAATTGGAACAGATTTGTGGTGAGGAACAGAGTCCAACATGTCCGGATCAAAACCATTCATGAAAATTTTCAAGAATTTGGCCTGGCACCAAATGCAGATCTCCAGAATGACTAACTGTCTTTGTTGTCTGCTTGTCATTAGATTTTTTTATAGTGGTAACATATATATCATATCAATAAACATTAATTTAATTAACAATACAAAAACAACACATTCTATAAAAAGCAATAAATATTTTAATATATGAAGAATACGAAAATGTATTTTGCAAATTACAGCATTTGTCAAGATATGTCATCGTCTTCATGAGAACTAGCTACTGTATATTTGCGCAGATAAGATGAGGTATAAATTCTCTTCAAAGTTTAATAGTTTTAGCATATATCTGTCCTATAAGATGACCCCGAAACTATCAACAGCCTATGAATTTAGTTTAGATCAGCAATCAATATCTGGATAATAATACTGTATAGCGTATACGGAATTATGTCCTATCGTATTATCGTAGTCGTTGGGCTTGAGTTACACAGACTATTGCGCCCCATGGTGGTGAGAGATGGCGAAAGTAATGTTTTCCTCAATAATTATAGGTCTGCTTGTAGACGGTGAAAAAGGTGATCATACTTTGTATACAAATCTCGATGGGCGTGAATTTGAGGCAATTGCTTATCTTGAAGATTTTGTGATGAATGATATTGTTATTGTTTAGAATTTTTTTCCTAACGGGTTCAAATCGATGACAGTTATCCAACCAATGTATCGTTGTATCCTGTTCTGTCGGGCAGAAGGTGCAACGATCAGTATTTTTCAAGTTATGTTTATGGAGGAAGGAGTTAGTGATGAGGGAATTGGTCCTGGCTCAATGTATCAGGATAGTAGTGTAACGATCCATATAGTCCATGACGGGGATGTGTCTGCCGGTGATGAGCCATTGATAGTCTGTATGGTTGGGAAAGTTATACCATTTGCTGTTTGATTTCGGTGTTTATAATGCTGATGTAATCTTCCAGAGTAATATAATGGGTTTTCTTGGTGTCGTATGGCTGACTCTTAACAAGTTTGTCCGCTTGTTCGTTTATGGTTATCCCTTTATGAGCTGGGGTCCAAACGAGGCGCGTCTGTAGTTTGTCTTTATTGCGTCTGTTGATGAGGCTTATGATGTTGTGGATGATGGAAGAAGTGTCCTATTCGTAATTTTTCAAATGAACAAGTTTTATTTTCTTGCATCTGGTAGCACTGCCTTGCTATTCTTGCAAACATTTCCACTGATTCAGCCATTCGGGTAATGACCTTGACTATTCACAAAAACATCATGTGGGATATTCTATTTTGTGGACATACCCTACTCTCTACTAGTAAATAATTATGGTTTTTCCGTTTTTTTATAATGATTTTAATTTTTGGGGGTCTTTTATGATTCAACTAGCATCTTATCTGGGCAAATATATGGTATTTATTATTATAAGAAATTGTCAAAAATTTAACATTTATTATACAGATATAAGAAAAAATATTCTGTTTAAACATATATATATATATTTTCCATAACTCAATCTTTGGCTCAGTATAAATTACAGGCATATAGTTTAAAACACATTAAAATCTGATTGTATCATAGTGTAAAAATGCAAAGATCTGTAAATATAGTAATCATAGAATTATATCATCAAAGTCTTGTTTTAAATTTATAATTTTATTAAATGAATGTAAATTGTTGAAGAAAAAGCATAAGTGAGAAATTTTATTAATTTCATTATAAATACTTTCAAAATGCATTTCTAGTAAAATCTCTCTATAATTGGTGTTGAAGATATATTATGTGCAAAGAGTCTTGTCTATTAGCATTATTATTATTATTATTATTATTTATAATTTAAATTCACTAAATAATAATATAAAGGATAATAAAAAAAAACAAAGTCTGAATAATATAGGCTTGATCTGTTGATAAATACTGTATAGGCTTAAATTATTGGATTACTTTTGGAATTTATTAATTAAATTAGCCGTAATATAGCTTGAAAACATCTGACAATTTAGGCATATACTTAGAAAACAAAGGATTAAACACAAACAAACTTTATATACATACAGTAAAACCTGTCCAAAACAGAATCTTAATTAAACATAAACTTGCCTAACAGGAAAACTTCTTAGTGATGCATCAATTTTGTGTGTTTAAAAAAAAACCTGCTAAACCAGAAAAATATTTGGTACCATGCAAGTGTGGCTTACACATGTTTCACTGTATATAAAACCAACCCTCAAAACCAAAAATGTTAAGTATCATTTCAGTATCAATAAGAAATTGGTAGTAGAATATAATTGTTTTAAGTCTGTTTGTTATAACTTTAAGTCATGGGTGTTTGTAGAAGGGACAAACAGGGCACTTGCCTCTTCCTGGAATTGAGTAAAAAATTTCATGAATTTTAATCATAAATGTGATTGAGATATGTAACCTTACACCCTCAACCATGGGATGCTTTGTCTTTTTGTATTGATGTGATATCTATTCTGTAATTTATTTGTGCAAAACTCAGAAAAATTAAATAAAAATTTATTGATGTAATTACTTATCTCCAACCTTCCCCACCCAGAGAATTTTCTGCAAACATCCATGCTTCAAATATATCTTCCTCATGCAATAATTTTCTTTTAAAAATCATGAACAAAGCTTAAAATCTAAATAAATTATACCATTCTATTTAACAAAAATCATTGTTAAAAATAATTTTAAATTTTCAACAAACATTGTGTCAATTTCCCATTTTAGCAATTGGAAAAAAAAAGTCTTGTTGTAATTTGTTGTTTGAATTATGTGCAATGTAAAAATCCTTGCAATATTCTGTGATAATTTAAAGTCATTTAAAGCACTATTATTTTAACAGTGGGGTATAGGCTTACAAAATAAAATATAGTTGCAGATTCATCTTCGAGTAGTGCTATGTCCCTGAATCAGATTACTTTGGTTGAGCTGGCAGTAGAAAAGGAGATAATGAAACACCTACAAGCCTTTATCTCCCTCACCTTGAGAAATACACCCTTTCTATTGCCAATTCAAGTGAAATAATGACTGATCTTCGAGACATAATACTACCTGATAACAAATTTGAAACTACATTTGAGTTTGCAAGTGTATATTTCACTATTAAACTTTAGCTTTGCTTTTGCATCCTTATATATTTCTATCCTATATTCCAAATTCTGTCAATCTCTCCACTATCTAAAAACTTATGAACCTAACATGTTGCTCATCCTTTATCACAGTTTTAATACTGTACAGTTTTAATTTCTTGTGTATTTTGAGAACATTAAGCTGCATACTATTTATTCTTAAAACAATATTACTGCATTCTCACTGAGTATTTTATAAATTCATAAAATTTTCATTGTAAATCATTGAGAAAACATTTCAAGGTAATATGTAAAAAAAATTTAGAACTTTAATATTGCAGATTTATATCCAGAAAATTAAATTAAATCTGCAATAATTTATTTCATAAATGCAATATCTAATAGTAAGAATGAATGAATTTGAAATTAAATGGCTGAATTCTGTTATCCTATCAAATGCCTTGTTACACATTTAAAGCAACTAATTTGTTTACTGAAACAGATTTTCATTTAATGCAGAAATTTGATTGGTTGATCATTATAAGACGTTTAAATTTCAAAACCTTTTGAAATATTTTTAAATAATTCCCGAAATGTTTATTAAATTAATAATAAAAATTAAATTAAAAGTTATTTTTCAATTTATTTAATTTTATTACGAAATATTAATAAAATATATTTGCATATTCCTCCGACAGGTGTCGGTCTATAACAATTTTGATTTAAAACCGTAATATTAGGTAAAATCATATATACATATGAACATTAATTATTATACAATTATTATTTTAGTAAATAAAAGAAACATTAAATATTGAATAACAAAAGTATTGTATGCTTATATCGAAGAAGATATTTAAAAATAGATTAAATAAATTGTCAATGTATAGGAAAATAAGATTGACGATAATGGAACGAAATATAAATCCGCGGAGGGCGCTCCGGTAGCGATTGGAGTCCAGCTGTTGATAGAAGTCGGTGCACATGTTAGTTGGATATTCGCCATTGTGAGGACGGTCGGCGCGTGTGAAGGGTTTTGTCGCAAACTCCTTAACACCCATGAAGGATTCGACAAATTCGGCAGAATCATGGATGTCTGGTGTCAAATTAGGAATCGTCAGATTAGGCAGAGCTGCGGGAAAGGTAAGAATTCTTTGTGTTTGTGTGACGTTTCAGTCGAGCTCAACCACTACTCGACCATGTCAACTTTCACAATCGAAAGATGCAAATTAAATCCGGACGAAGGAAAAATTCATGAAAGAGAAAGCTTTATAACACACTATAATTATTCTCTAGACTAACTGATAATGAAAATGTCAAAGGTTGCCAATTGATTTTCCTAATAATTTATTTTTTTTCTGGGGAAGAAGGAAAAAAAACTTCTTGTCGGTCTGTAGACCGGATTCAATCGCTGAAGTTCGTGTGTGCCCCCCTCTTCTAGTTTAAAGTTTCCGGCCAGTTTGGGCCGCACCCCGTCCGGGGTCACGGCTCTCCCTCTTGACCGAAGTTGAACAAAGAAAAATCGAACAAAGAGATGCTTCCTCAACTTTAAAAACGCTTTCGGTGGAAATAAATTTTTTGTTTTGTTTTTTTCTGAAGTCGTTAAAGCGTACGGATATCTATCATTATCCTCTATTGTTTAGTCTAGTTAAATGTGCGACGCGAGGGTCTACATTTAAAAATGATTGTTTAGTAATTTTGTAAATAACCTTGCAAGAAAAATGATGTGGGGGCCCAGGAAGTATGTTAAGTGATTGGGATGAAAACATACTGTTTACAAAGTTGCACAGTGAAGTTTTTAAATGTGCTGTGAAGGAATAACACTATAAAAGTAAACATTATTTGGGAAGTTGACCATTATAACAAATAGGTAATAACTCAGAAATTCATTTGAGTATTACTTCACATAAATCTGGAATCCTTCCAAGTGTTAAGGAAATTGATATTTTCCTTGTTTTTCATAGAGTAATTTTCTGCTTTTTACTTGATTTATTAAATCCACTGATTTAATCTTTCTGCAGGGACATTATTAAGGAAAGTTGATAATTATTCCATTTATTAAAAAAAAAAATGCTTGTAATTTCATCAAGAATGACATTCTTGTTTTCATTTGTAAGTCTAGTTGTTATAAAATGAAAACCTAATACCTTATTTAAACAATATAAAGTTTGAAATATGATAAAGGTTGCTGTAATTCCATGAGGTGATATTAGATGTTTAAAATTGCTAATACTATTTTATAATATATATAAAAAGAACATTTTTAATGCTAGCATAAAATTCCACATCTTATAAATTATAAATGTTGGAGTAAATAATTGAGTGACACAATGCAGCTTATCTAGGTTACTTTGACTAGCAATGATTAAATTTCTAGTAATTTCTATTTTTATGTATTTTAATTTTTGATGACATAATTTGCGCTTTATTGTAGTAGTAAATATTTATTTAAAGAAAACACATGCAAGATGTCTGCATACAAAATGCTACTAGAAAGTTGTATTGCAAAAGCAAAATAACAGGAATAGCAATTTTTGGTTCGTAGAAGAGTAACAAATTTGTAGGCTCGACAACCTAATTTAGCATTAAAATAGTAAATTTAGTTTTTCGGCAGTTATTTCCAGTGCAAATGCTTTGGAAGGAGACTTGTTTCAAAAACCCAATTTGGCAGATCGGTTCTATTAAATAGAACAGTTTATAGTAACTAATTTGGTAGGTCAGCCTCCTGAACTAAACAATGCGGCAACAGACTTTGCAAATTGTTAAACAGTATTATTGCAATAGATGTAGTTTATATAATGTAATTAAATTAATTTGCTATTTAAATGAAGTGAATAAAAGAATTATTTTTCTTAACTGGTTATAACTTTGAAAATAGTACACTTATCAAGTATTGGTAATGCAAATACATTCATTTGTATAAACAAAATTGTCATGCCAGATAAATTTAGCATTTTCTAATGGCAAAATTAGATCAAATGTGTGTAATTTAGAACTGGCAACGTTTTGGGCTGTCACTAGTTATAGATGTTAATTGTTGATAAATAGTCACTAGTTGTATTATTGCAGCTTACTGTTCCTGTGTTTTGAATGCTCATAGTGCACTAGTTTAAGGTCATAAAGAGATCTTCAGTGGTTTTATTAGAAAAAGAGGTTATGTGGAGTTGAGTTGTTGTTGTTTACATACTTAGGAACACAAAAAAAAAATTCCTCCAGCAGAAAGTTGAACTGTAGATTTACTTCCATTGCAAAAGTTTACATTATTTTAGCAGAGCAACAATGCCTAAACAAAATCTCTGAAACAACAGATTCGATATTTAGATTGAATGTAGTAGGATCGATGAAAACTGGCTCGATGGTACCGTATGTGTTTGATGTTGGTCGAGGGGGGCAAAAAGATCTGTCTGCCGTTGGAAATTCATCGTAACGACACTGCAGTCAAAGGTAGGCCGGTTACCTTGGTAACGTCCACTAGCAAATGTCTTGATGCGGTGAATGAACAAGGCCTTGCCTGCCTGCATCTCTTTCCACAACAGATGGTGGGTTTATTTGTCACGGCGTTTACGCCAAGGTCTATTGTTTCAAGAACTAGTTTGGCCGCGACCGATGTTGTTGAAGTACCCACCACCCCCTTTTGCTCGACTCGAGTAGACGTTTCGCTATTGTTTACTGGAAAGGTTATCCTTCTACGCGACGTAGCAAGGAACAGAAAAAAAAAAAAAATTTCTTTTAACGATTCGTATTAATCAAAGCGGAAACTCGATCGTATCGCACGAAAGTTAATCCAGTAATAGACGATAACTAGTCGTAAACTGGAGCTATCATGGCTCCCGTCAGAGTTGGGAGAGGGGTAAAATTCGGGGGCGAAGAAAACGGCCACGGGCGGGACTTATTTGGGTTAATATTTCCTAAATCACAACTTAGAACGTCCTTTTACCCATCGAACCGACCCGTGGATGACACCGATCGAAGATCGTTCCTTCAAAAATTCTATCAAGTTCTCGGTTAATGTTGGAAGGTAGCATAATCGAAGGCTTTGCAAGCCAAGTAATCGTTACTACGATGTGATTAATCGATAGGCAGTTTACCCAATCTCCTTTCTTCCATTTTTCCCTTTCTTCCCCCCGTTTTGATTGTGGATGCAATACTTTATTTATTTCCCAGATTCTTGGAGCATATTTATGTATCGATCGATATCCTCCCGAATTTTTTTCCATTCCTCCTCCTGTTTGGGCAATTCGAAAAGTTTAATACTGTTCGATGTCGGCTATATACAACCGCTCGTTCGATCGATCTATACGTTTCGCTTTTCGGCTAAATGAATAACGATTTTAAGCGCGGTTTGGCCAGCGGAGAGTGAGAAATTTCGAAATTACGTTCATCCGATCGGGAAAATCTGGTTTACTAGTTTTGCATTTCGAGCAAAAGAAATGCAAAAACGTTCGCCCGCCTTCTCTTATCGGATGCGAATAGCACGTGACCGTTCGTTTTTTTATTAAAATATTTTTTGAAAAAAATTGCCTACTATTTGGCGATTTTATTTTTTCATCGCGCACCCTTTCGTTTTTTTAATTGGCTGCTATTTGGCTATTTTTACGGGGGTTTTCGAAAACGCTTCTATCGTGTTTTTGTTTTTAAATTATTTTATAATGCAATAAACTCTTTCAGATGAAATACACGCTACTGGACGAAAGGGACATATCGTTGGTGCAGGAGTTTGCGTTTGAGGTAAGTCGACCTACGTCAACATTAATTTAAATGGATGCTTAGCTGCCGGGGGTAAAGTGGGGATGGATGGATGAAGGAAAGGGGGAGCGGAGGCGACTCCGCTTGCGAGGGGAAGGTGTTTTCTTCACGATTTTATTCTCTTCGTAACGCCGCTACATCGCGTGTAAAAATCTTAACCATTAACGTCTAAACCGATTTCTATTTGTGCTCGAATCTCTTGGTCTGGTTGCCGAGGCAACGCGCACGATCCCTGTTTTGTCCCCCGAGCACGTGACTCGTCGTCGCGCGAAAACGAGAGGAGAGCGAGTGTACTGTACGAGATCCGTCCGGTCCTGTCTTTTGACCACATCCGTTAATAAAACTCCCACGAATTAAAGGAAGGCGCTTATAATAAACAAATAAAACTACATGTTTTTTATATTAAAAAAATTTTCTCGTCGTCGAACGCATTTATGAAAAATCGCGTTCGGGGTATTAATCATCTGACATAGATGACATCACACACGATTCGCTTTATCTCTTTCGATTGCAGATGTCGACCGCTTTGCACAGCTGCCGGATTAGAAAGAACCGCGTCCCGTTATTGCTGTCGGTAAATATTTAACAGTAAAATGCGTCCGTTGAACTTTATTATTACTACTTAATAGATGCAGATTGCGATGGTTTTTTTTTAATTTTTGTCTCCGAAGAGGAAGGCGTCCGGTATTGTTCATTTTTGGATTATTATTTTTTCTTCCCCCTCCACGCATGGGCGGTGCATTCGAGTGCACGCGCAGCTGTACCCACTTTCCGACGCCGAGTTGATTTGTCGACCGTTTCGCTCACCACCTGCCCCGTCCGTCTGCAAAGTAGATTGATTTTTGCTTTTCTCTTAGGAGCGGCAATCATTATAAGGCGAGTTTGGTCGAGAGCGAGGCCGACACCCACCGAACGGGATTACCATGCCATGGAAATCAATAGGTGCTCCGAAGGGCCATCGTCCGCTCGATCCGAAACGAAAGATTAAAAGCATTTATTATTATTATTATTATTATTATTATTATTCTACAGAAAATATGGAAGGAGGAGAATAATGTATTTTATTATTTGATTCCGTAATAGTAATAATTCTCTCTCGATGAAAATGATTATACTTTGGCAAACGAGATCTCGTTCGCCGGGAGATTTGCATTACAGTTTGATTCCCGCAGATTACTTTAATCACGCGCGTCTCTTATTTATCTGTCGTCTGAACGAATCTCGTTCGTTCAAGGTCGGACGAGGACGAAAGCGTTCGTAAAAGTGAAAGAATAAAAAAAATAATAAAAACAGTTACGTGTGGGGTTTTTGTTGTTTCTTTATTATTATTTATTATTATTATTTTTAATTATATATTCCTTCTCTCTCTTCCCCGAGAGATGTCGTTTACCCCTTCCAGTCGGAAATGCGTCACGGGATTTTAAAAAAGCGGAGGTGACGTCATTCGGTACCGGCGCAAACGTGCCTATCCGCTCCAAACAATTAACATATATCGATATCTTGGCACAGTTTAGATGGCCGCTTAAGTTACTGTTTTTGTGCCGAGGATAAAAGTAATGGCACCGTTACCCCCCTTCTCCCGTCCAAATTATCGATCGGAAGTTTTTAACGAAACGATCGTTTTTACGTCGGGATGGGTTTAATAAAATGTCAGATCAACAGGTGAACGGATGATTGATTAGTAATATTTATATCCGGAATTAACAATGACTAATGCTTTTGCTTGCCATTCGTCGAAATTATGCGTTTATTGACATTCTCTTTCTCCCCTCCCCCTTTCTCCTTCGTCACTCCAGGCATAATAGATTTTACTGTTTTATCATGATGATTCTTCAAGTTTTTCTTCTCGTAAAAATGTATTTCCCGGCTGAGAAGATACGGATGCCCGATGTATAATTTAGCGCATAAATATTTTAACCGTTTGCTGTCCCTCTCGGGCCATCCGTTAAATAACACGGATGCTGCGGCAATTTATTGTAGTTATTTATATTCCGTGCCAGAATTATTGTGTTCGTTTGGCTAAATTCCATTTGTCGTAGGATGAGGCATTAAGATCTGGCCAATGTTTGAGTTAACAACCTGATTGTGATCTAGAGCATTCTTCTTTTTCCCCTTTCCAACTGGCACCGTATTGACGTGAACTAATCCTGGTTATGTCTGAGGACTGCGCCATAATATATGTTTTCTCTTTCTCTCTTACTGCCATTACTGTAAATAAATCTTAAGATATTAACTGCAATATACAAAGCATTAATTTGTAATGTTAAGACTTCAGTAAAAAAGGGGGGAATTAACTATAAATTAGAAATAAACACAAACATTAACCTTAATGGAATTTAGAGTTTATCTGAATTTGCAAAAAGAATTTTTTATTTTACTACGTGTTTATTGTGTAAACCTATTGCCAAATAAAGTTTATCTCCTCTGTCAAACAGTTTACATGTTTGTTATCGTCCTTATTCATGGAATAATAAATAAAGATAAATTAATGATTAGTTGTAAGAAAAATTGTTGTTTTGCTCCTACATCAATTAAAATATTTAAACAAAATATAAACTTGTTTGTTTATTTACATGTGTGTGTGTGTATATATATTATATTAGTTTGTTCTTATCTATAATTGTCTTATAATTTAACAATTTTTTTAATTGTTTATAGGCAAGGGTAGAGGTAGATAGAGACGGTAATGGTGCAACAATATTTGCATATGCATACGATGTTACGCGAGGCAGAAATGCTGGGCAGTTTGTTCACGAGTTATTATGGTAAGTGTTTTTAAACTATTATTAATCAGTGAAATGAGCATGTTTTCTAAATCCTCTTTGGAATTTGTAAAATATTTTTAAATAATAGGTTACAGCTGCTGCTATACCTTTTTTTTTTTTAATGGTATCCTTGCTAAATAAATCTTTCAGATGTTTGTTTTTTAAATAAATGTTGTTACTACTGTTACATTAAATTTCTCTAATATTTCTATTATTATTCATTAAAAACAGGCAAAGATTATCGTTCGGTACAATCTATTTCTATGCATGAAGTGAACTGATAACTGTCACTGTGTAGAAACACAATATCTCTCTAAATTGTAATGCTATATTACCCTTAACAGGATACTGACTTGTTTTAATCTGCTGCACCACTTACTGAATGTGAATGGTTGCTATTTAGATAGTGTAAGGTTTTTGACCATTTTAAAATGATGATTAAATTATTCTTTAGTCCTCCTGCTTAACATATAAGATATGTGAAAGCTTCATTATTTTGTTTCATGATATCATTTAGTAAAATACTAAATTAACTATAAAAACAAAATTCCATAGATTTAATGTGTTAATTATATATTGAATTTATCTGTCTAAATTTTAAAATATTTGAAAATTCTTTTTTTATTTATTTTTTCCTCTTAATCACTCTTGTAGTTGTATATGTTTACAATGTGATGCTATAGAATTTTAATTTCTGTTTTGCTCCTAAACTGCGATGAAATGATTATCTCGGATGCTATTTATATATATATATATATATATATTGTTTTTAGTAATGAAAACCGGATGTAATGAGGTTGAATTGAAGTAAATTTTTGCATGTATATGCATAACACAAAGATTCAAAGCTAATGCCAGAAGCCATAATATTCTATCCTTGCAGATCGTCCATTTGCCATCTGGTTGGAGTATGATAACTTCTATAAGAAAATGAAAGCAAATATTTCTGTACGATTATAATGCATCTGGCAAACTAAAGTATTAAATATAACTTTAAAGAATCTTCCATTTTATCTTTTTTCTTCATTGTTTCTTTCGAAATTTCTAGTGTATTTCAAATGTTTAGCAAACAATAGTTAATTTTTATGCCATATAAAAATGGCATAATTTTTTAATGTACTTTTTTTTTTTTTTTT